CTCATTGTATCACATATGAGTCCAGTGTTACATGACATCACCAAGTGTCTACTCATTGTATCACATGTGGGTCCAGTGTTACCTGACATCACCAAGTGTCTACTCATTGTATCACATATGAGTCCAGTGTTACATGACATCACCATGTGTTCACTCATTGTATCACATATGGGCACAGTATTATATGACATCACCAAGTGTCTACTCATTGTATCACGTATGGGTCCAGTGTTACCTGACATCAAGTGTCTACTCATTGTATTACATATGGGTCCAGTGTTACCTGACATCAAGTGTCTACTCATTGTATCACATATGGGCCCAGTATTACATGACATCACCAAGTGTCTACTCATTGTATCACGTATGGGCCCAGTATTGGGGGGGGGGGGGGAGAAATGACAACAAATTGATTGATGTCCCTTTAAATAATGCAATGAGAATGATGGAAAATTAATAGAGCAAATTCTAATTACTAATATTAAATTATTCAACTAACTATAAATCCTATCTGCATGTAAATGTAGTTTAGTTGCCATGGTTATTTTACAACCAACTACCATTACCATAACATGTAAACCTGACAGAACTCGTATAGTGCAACTTAATTCCATAGTTACATATTGGAATTGATGTTGAATACAATTAACAATGATGGGAAAGCAGATATTGGTAACATGGTAACAAACTAACGGTATTGTTACGACGACTGTATTTTGTTACTTCAGGAAAAGGAGTGGCATTAATAGTTTTCTCTTGATGTAAAAATCATAGTATGATTATGAGAAAAATTCTAATAATTAATGTTAGTGGAAACAGAAACCGATAATATCACATAAACGCTATGCAGACAAAGGTTCCACAAAGGTGTGAAGATAAAAAACACAAACATTGTCATTACCTGTGTTAATTTGTCTCTTAGTTTATCCAACTCTGCTTGTTTTTCCTTTCTTGAAGCCTCTCTGGACTTGGTGACTGCATCTATTTTTTCACGATGCGAAGAACGGACCTCTTGTCTCAAACCTTCCATTTCCTGAAGTGAGTAATGATAAACACATTTTAGTTTTTATGTTTACTATTAAAATATCTTGAAATGAAAACAGAAGAATTTATTGCTCTTACCTATTGAGGGCAGTGTTTAGCACTCCTAGTTACAATAAATCTTTAATGACCAATGCTACTTAAATTTTGAAGAATATTCACTGTTTTAAATTTTCACAAATTTCCCATTAAAACAATGAGATATATAGTAATTTTACAGGTCACACAATATTTTATTTAGCTTCTCTCACATATTAGTCAAAATTGAATAATAATTACTGGAAAAACACCAAAATAATAACTCATAAATGACTTCTAAAATTAGGAATAACATTTACATTTACAATGGTTAATGCACACTATTGTGAAGATTTTTTTACCTCTCTAAGACTGGATATAGTATTTTGTTGTTGTAAAACAAGTTGTCTTTCATGATCAATGTCCTCCTTAAGTTTACTACTAGCCTTCACTGCTTCTTCTTCCCAAGCCTCTTGCTCTCTGGACAGATGACGTTCCATTTCCTTTTCCCAAATTTCCCTTTCCTTATCTATTGCACTTCTTATCTGAGAAGGAGAAGGCACATAGTTTACTTTGTATTCTAATCAATAATAAATTTGAAAATATACGTAAATTATTTTCGGAATGTACTGTGATAGTGAAATTACAAAAAAGACACACAGTGAGAGTCACAGAGTATATCTTATCAACCCCATTATACCAATACAGATATTAACATCAATAATCCTTAAAAAAATAATCTATAATTTATTGAATGTTTTGAAAAATACATGTTATCTTAAGTAACTTTTTTTTGTTTGCAACTGCATCATTATGTGGAATATAACATATAGGTGAGAAACCAAATAAAGTAGAAATAAAGAGAAATAATAAAATAAATATAGTTAGAAAGTAAAAAGTGTAAAGTAGTCTGGTTTGCGTGATTTCATACTCCCAATAGTACCAGGATGTATGACCTCAAAGGTTGCACATCTGGTGATTTCATACTCTCAATAGTACCAGGATGTATGACCTCAAAGGTTGCACATCTGGTGATTTCATACTCCCAATAGTACAAGGATGTATGACCTCAAAGGTTGCACATCTGGTGATTTCATACTCCCAATAGTACAAGGATGTATGACCTCAAAGGTTGCACATCTGGTGATTTAATACTCTCAATAGTACCAGGATGTATGACCTCAAAGGTCGCACATCTA